TCTCTCTCTCTCTCTCTCTCTCTCTCTCTCTCTCTCTCTCTCTCTCCCCTCTCTCCCCTCTCTCCCGCTCTCTCTCTCTATATATATATATTTTTATTTTTATTTTTTTTCAGTTAGTTAAATAAAAGTTATTTTTGAAATTAACTAAGCATTGATAATATAATACGTAAAAAGATATAAATAAATGAATTCAGGCAAATCAACGGAACTTTGATACAACAGTTGATATGTTCTACTTCTACGAATGAAAAGATAGTGTTTTAATAATTAGATATCTCATTGTAACGAGATAGATCGGGAGAGGAAGAAAATGCAGTTTAATGCTGCTTACATAGTTTCTACGAATTGTCTATAAGTGTCTTATATCCGTGGGAAAGTGTAACTTATGCACTTTACCACGATTTGTAAATAACAATAATATGATGTAACTCTTCCCATCTCAAGTTAGAGCTTCCATGAAGGTCTAAAACAATTACAATTAACATCAATATTCTTTAAGGTCTAATATGAAATAAGTATTGCAGTATAGTTTGACCCTTTGTCCACAACACCCGACCAGTTACAGGACGTTAATGCCCTCCTTAAGACAGGAATTATTTTACTTTACTTATTGGACACGTGCTCGTCAGTTTTGAGTTAGAAAGACAAGTGTTTTTTGTTTCGTTTTTTAAATACATATTATTTAGATATAAGTGCATATTTAGATAATGTGTTGTTTCATTTATTTTTGTTTTTTCAGAAAATTGACAGAGCAAGAGACTATGTAAAAAGATAAGTATTTTTTATCGAAATCATAGGTTTTCTTCTTAATTGTATCATAACTTTGTTAATAGAATGTACAATAAAATATGAGGGTCGACTTTAGCTAATTAATCTTTGTTCTTTTGTATATTTGTTATAATGTTTGTAAAGAATATATGTATTTTCTGAAGTTTTTTTTTTAAGTGGTGTTTTCTTAATTTATCTCTTCAATTTATCTGGAAAAAATTTTAATAGAATTTAAGAATTTTGCCAGTTTTAGTGTATAGAAAATTTAAAACACAGTAATGCATTACTTAAAAATCTTAATGAAGATCCAACACTGAAGATGGCAAAATGCCAAAGTACATCTAGACCAAAATTAATGGCATTGACGAAGCTGCTCTTATGCCAGTACTGACTACTGATCCGATTTTTGAACATCCCTTGCATGTCCAACTTAGCATAAACATTCCCAGCTTATGTAATGTAATGAGCTGTCTTATAATGGAACCGACTTATTCTTGTGTAATATACATTTGCTCCATGTACGTAGCAAGCTGGGATTTTTTGCATTCTGTGGAAGACTTAAGGTTTTAATTTGAATACTGGTTTGTTGGTAGAGATTATAAAAAAATGACTGCTTTGGAAAATAAAGAAAACATGCGAAGCTTAATAAGGAAAACCATCCTAAAATTGCAATGATTGTCTAATATTTTTCCTCCATCATAAGAAATCTGTCAAGAGGTCAAGAATAATCTACCAGTGGTATTTTTAATATACTTTATACTTTCCTGTTCTGTAATTCTTATCTTTATGCAAATATTAAAAAAATTGGCATCTCTTGGACATGGATATCACTTGAGAAGGAGGAACAAACAGGATATTACAAAATACTTTACTTTCCTACTTTGCTTCTTCCTTTGGGACTAAATTTTTATACAATTTGCTGGCTCTGTCCATATCCATCCTTTCATTGGACCTCCATGATGAGCGCATTCAACAAATGGCTCCTGTATAACAAGATTGTCGCTTGTCCTGTCTGGAGTACCTCAACAACCGCAGGTATGCCAGAACAAGTTTCTGAGGTTTGTCACATTCTACTCAAGATGGAAAAGAATCGAGACCCTCCATAAAGTGACCAACATGGAGAGAATTGCCATGGGGATCAAACATAATGCACAGCTTCTTCAGAAGAAGTGATAGTAGGAATGTGCTATGCAGGACAAAAGGTGCTTACAACATGGACATTCCCTGGAAACACCTAAGAGTAAATCATCCTGCGTGAAGAACGCAGGCTGGGAGTTGACTTATTTATTATATCTGTCGTTTCCTGTGATCCTATTTAATTCTATTGTGCACAATTTATTATGCACAATATTATCTTTTGCTTGAAACGAGATAGTCTGAAGTTTTGCCAACTGTGATATTATTGTGAGTAAATATTTGACAAACTCGGCGTGTTGTTTCCTCATTGATGAGTGGTTTTTGAACAATTTTTCCCCAATCTCTAAAAATTGATCAAAGCCTGTGATTTACAGTAAAGCTACTTGTATCTCGTTAAGGACATAGTTGACCTGCCGCTGATACTTTAATTTATATCAAATTAATCAGTATTTATGCTAAAGTTAATTTATTTATTAAATAACAAAATGCAGAGTAATACAAGAAACTAAAATTAAAACAATTCAAACTAAGAACATATTAAAACTCTCATATTATATTTATTTAATAGTACTAATTGGCAGTTTCTAGTTGATTATTGCACAATTACCGAATATTACACAAACTTAAGAAGATTGTTATTTAAATTAACTAGATTCACAATTTTAGAAATTAAGCCTTTGAAATAATGTAAATTTCTGAAAGTTTGTTCTATATTTTTGATATATCTTAATAAAGATTTATTTGACCATACATGATGAGTCAGTTGCATTCAAATTTGACATACCTGTGAACCACTAAATATAGTGGTGAGTCAGAGTTCGACATCACATAGGAACAATGCGTTGGCTTTGGTAAATTGGACTGTTGTTTTTGCTTGCTCAATTTGTGAGGAGTGAATCATTCAATTCTAATTTTAAAAAAATTTAAAATTTAAAAATCACTAACAAACAAAGTTAAATCTTTAAATATCGACACAAAGAAGTTTTAACCCCCGTCCGCATGCACTGTAAGGGCCCATGAGGTATTCAATATATTGCTAATGTGCATTAAAAAAATTAAATGGTAAATGTACTGCTGGCAAACATTATTTTTAATGATTGCGTGCATATGCATTGCCCTTACAGTAATCCAAATTAATTGCTACAGGGGAATATTCAGATTGCTGAAAATATCTAATTTCATAGGGTGTTAAAAAATCCATACATATTATGTTTAAAAAAAATACTACGATTATTGTATCACAAAATCAATATTAGAATACATACAAACTGTCAATTTTTTTAAATCACACTCATTCGCTCTCGTACCCATTTACTCACTCACTCATTTATTCATGCATTCACTGTCTCAATTTCACTATCTTTCTCTCACTCTCTCTCTCTCTCTCACACACACACACTCACTAACTCACTCACACTCTCGCTCTCCCTCACTCTCACACACTCGCTCTCATACTCATTCACGCACTCACTCATTTATTCATGCATTCACTGTCTCTCAATTTCACCATTTTTCTGTCACTCTCACTCACACACTCGCTCTCATACTCATTCACGCACTCACTCATTTATTCATGCATTCACTGTCTCTCACTATCTTTCCCTCTCATTCTTCACACTCTCCCTTTCTTTCTCTCTCTTTCACACACTACTTTCTCTTTTCTTTTTCTCTCTCACACACTCCACACTCTCTCTTCCTCTCTCACTAACACACTCACTCTTTCTCTCATTCACTCACTCACTCACTTTCATACTCATTCATTCATTCACTCACTCATTTATTCATGTATTCACTCTCTCTCTCACTCTCTTTCTCTGTCACGTTTACTCATTCACTCTCTCTCACACTCACTAACTCTCTCCTCACACTCGCGCGCTCGCTCTTTTTCTCTCTCACTCACTCGCTCTCTTTCTCTCTCACACACTCACTCACTTGCTCTTGTACTCATTCACTCACTCACTTCCTCTTGTACTCAATCACTCACTCTTTTATTCATGCATTCACTCTCTCACTATCTTTCTCTCTCTCCCTCTCTTTCTCTGCCACACTTACTCATTCACTCTCTCTCACACTCACTCGCTCTCTTTCTCTCTCTCCCTCTCTCTCTCTCTCTCTCTCTCTCTCTCTCTCTCTCTTTCTTTCTCTCTCTCTCGCACTCACTCACTTGCTCTCGTACTCATTCACTCACTCATTTATTCATCCATTCACACTCTCACTATCTTTATCTCTCTCACTCATTCATTCGTTCACTCACTCATTCCCACACTCTCTCTTTCACACACTATCTCTCTTTTCTTTTTCTCTCTCACACACTCCACACTCTCTTCCTCTCTCACTAACACACTCTCTCTCTCTCTCATTCACTCACTCACTCACTCTCTTTCTCTTACTCACTCGCTCTCATACTCATTCAATCACTCATTTATTCATGCATTCACTCTCTCTCTCACTCTCACTATCTTTCTCTCTCACACTTACTCATTCACTCTCTCTCTCTCTCTCTCTCTCTCTCTCTCTCTCTCTCTCTCCCTCTCTCTCTCACTCTCTCTCTCTCTCTCTCTCTCTTTCACTCACACACTACTTTCTCTCTTCCTCTATTTCTACATGCCCCCAGGACCCAGCAGAGAATCATTTTATTTTGCACACNCACTCGCTCTCATACTCATTCAATCACTCATTTATTCATGCACTCTCTCTCTCTCTCTCTCTCTCTCTCTCTCTCTCTCTCACTCACTATCTTATTCCCCTTCTCTCTCTCTCTCACTCACACTCTCTCTCTTTTCCTCTCTTACTAACACACTCACTCTCTCTCTCTCTCTTTCACTCACACACTACTTTCTCTCTTCCTCTATTTCTACATGCCCCCAGGACCCAGCAGAGAATCATTTTATTTTGCACACCTAATTTATTTTATTTAGTTTTTAATCTTAAAATTATTTATTTCAGGTGGATCTAGTTATTAGTGCTACTATATTGTGTTCTGGAGTAGTCATAATTTGCTTCACACCTCTTTACATTACAAAAGTTATGGTCAGAGGAAAAACGAGAGGTTTTTGTAAATATTTTCTAAAATTGCACTGCTTATATATCAGAATTTGCCACCCTTGTATAAAATTCCCCCCTATAAAAATTCCACTTAGTTTTTAAAAAATGGGTTCCACCACTCACAACACATACAAGGGTAAAACTTGGTGCCAATGAGAACACGTAATATAAATTCCTCAATTCAATTTTTTTAATACCAAACTGTACTAAAAAAGCAAAAAACGTTTAAAAACTCTTTAAAGAATTTATTAATTAATGCTTGTTTTTATGAGATTGTTACATGTTTGTTTTTTATAATGTTGTATTTATTATTTTGCATGAAATGAAAAGGAACAGTTGATCAATCTGGATTTGAAAGACTTCGTATGCTTTTCCAAATTTTTATTTCAAGTAAAATTAATAAATTTTTAACAAAAGTTAATAATTTTAACAAAAGTTGGAAAAGCTTAAGGAGACTTTATTATCCGGATATATAAAACAAACAGTTGGAAAAGCTTAAGGAGTTTTTATAATCCAGATCAATAATTCGTACTGATATTATCAGAATAAAGAATTGTTTTTTTTCTTTTCCAGACTAAAATGAATTTTTAAAAAAGGCATAATTAAATATTGGGTTTGTTTATTAGAAAAGCAAGACGTACAATTTTATTGGCATTCTTTTTTAAATGAGAACAAATTAATGGATCAATTTTCCTTGTAAACAAACCATAATATTGAGATTTGAACGGAAATATTGTCAATTTATCCACCTTGTTGGATGTTCTAAAAACATTTTTATTTGAACTATTAGATTTCCGATAATAAAGCACTTAACGCAATTTTTGAACAAGTGAAAAATGTTCTAAATCGTTTTTATTTTTGTGAAAGACAAAAAACTTTATTTATAATTTTTTTTAATTGGATAAGGTTTTGGAAATTCAAAACATTAAAAAAATGTATTCGGAACGATATCACTCGAAAATATTTATTAACACGAATGGCTCTCCAGAAAGGGGCAAAGTCCGTTACAGGCGCAAGAAAAGAAAAAGAAATGGAACTCCATGGGTGAGGGTAGAAGTGGGGACTCTAGCACAAGTATAACATTCACATTTTATATCTGGCTTAGCCTTCAAAGAAGAAAGATTCTGCTTCCTTACATTCAAACAGACGGTAAAGAAGGTGAGTATTCTTTAGACACAGATCGAGAGGCAAAGAGAACTCGAGTTCCCTGCTCTCGAAAGCATTTTCTTGTTATTATGTTTATTTATATTTATGCACGAATGTATAAGAATTTTCGACTTTAAATCTTATAACGGTTTTTACATTAAAAAAATTCATATATGTATTTTTTTGTTCCTTTTATGCTTGCATTGTCAGTTTTTCGATTTAAAAACTCGTCTTTCGTTTCAAATTTTTTTCTTCTTCTGCAGGACGTCGAACTCGTTATATTTCCACCCTTCCACTTTGTACCTGTACGACGAGGAACTTGTGTACCCTGGAACCCGCGAACTTGGGTATTCCGTCGTAGGAGAAACCCACCTCTAGACGAGGACCGATCAATTCCGTCGACCGACTTTTATATTTTGAATTTGTCCAAATTCCGCCAGAAAAAATTTGTATTAATTAATTTCTACGCATCACCACTTGGGATCTTTTCAAAATTTGAATTCAAGTAGAAGCGGTGTTCTGTTTGAAACAGATAAATAACATTATTAAATGTCAGATTGTATTACAAAAACAAAATGCTTTACGCGCGATTTAAAAACTTGTCCGGTCACTTTTCTTCTAGAAAAAAAAAACCACAACCTGTATATATATATATATATATATCTATATTTTTTTTGCTAGTTTCCAAAACTATGTGTTAGTCCGTGGACTTGTCTTGAGACCCGTGTTTTATCCATTGGAACGGTGTACAACCTGAATTTTTTTATTTTTTTATATTGCAAATATTTTATATTACAAATGAATAGGTTTTAATGCTGTTTTACATGACCCCCTAAATCGCTTTCTTTCTGTTTGCCCCCTCATTTAACAACATACGAATTTGACACGTTTTATAGAATCAAGTATAATTTTCTCATCAGATTATTTGACATTATTCCGCAGGAAGAAATAAATTTCACCCTCTTTAATTTGCGTTAACGTGTCAGGAAATAAGACAATTTTTAGCTTAAATTAAATCCATTGGTGCTTAAAATTTTACGTTATATTTTAAAATATATAATTAATTTGCAAACACAGCAAAGGATCAACTCAACCCAATATTGTACATATTTTTATCCAAACAGTGTATTATATAATAATTCCTTAAGCTTTACAGTTATTGAATATTTTCCAGCATTTTCCGCCTTGGACTCTTCTCTAGTTGATCTCTTGTGAATCCAAGGACGAAATTGAAGATTTAAGGGGGGGGGGGAAACCGAGACGAAGCAATTCGAAGAAGAACCCAAGTGGTTTTTACTTGAAATGTCATTATATAAAAAAGCACTAAAAAAAAAAGAAAAGGGAAAAATATGAAGAATCCAATTGAAAGACGACGGAACGGAAAAATCTCCAGACAATAACAAAAATTCAAGATTTAAATCAAACAGGAAAAACGATTACGAACTAAGTGGTCTTCTTCGATTACGATTATGTAACATAATTTTTTTCGTTCTTATTATATAAATTCAATTAATTAATCTTTATGGGGGCGTCGGTGGCCGCAACGGTTTAGGCGTTGACACGGCGCTCATCACTGTAAGGTAAAAGGTCCCAGGTTCGAATCCAGCGGCCCTGCATTCTACCCGACATACTTTTTTTTCAAAAATACCGGCACCGAGGTTGATATAACCTCTACTGTTGCGAACCCTCGTAAAAAAAAATCTTTATGTAAGGTATTGGTTGAGATAAAAAAGTCAGTGTCACGAGCGGGATTCGAACCCACGACATTCGGCTAAATACGCCGCTGCTCTACCACTTGAACTATCGTAACTTCACCTTATTCACTAGGTTTTCTATGAGTATATTAAACCTTCCCAATTTTAATCCCAGTCTTAAAAAAAGGCCCTTTTTAGTAAAGTATCTCTTTTCGCACCAAAGTAAAATACACAAAGACCGGTTTCAAAGTTCATTACCTTGGAAGGTTCAAAGGGATCTAGGTGTCACGTAAAAATCCTTTATTGCGAAGGATTTAATAAAATTAGCACGACGTTTAGGCGAAAGTAGAAAATTCACAATCCCAGGACACATTTCTCAACTTATTTAAAGGACATTGGGACTTTCTAAAGCACCGGCCCAAAACAATTGGCCATATCGGTATAATCAATCTGTCAAAATATTGAATACAATTTAACAACACATCGATTTAAAATTCTTCACAATTCGGTACGATTTTTAAATAAACAATTATAACTTTTAAGTAATTTTTTCCTTAAAACAAATGTTTGTGCACCCTGTCCACGCTGTACTAAAGGTGTTTTTGCTATTTAGTTTTTTATTTTTCTCTACTATTCAACTGCGTCTTATCTTACGTAATACAATTTTTTCCATTGTAACAGGTTGTTAAAAAAAAGATTGGTGACAACAAATTTGTTTTTGTTTATAAGCAATTGAGAATATTATCCTATTTCGTATTCGAGATATAATTTGCAGGCTCAATGGAGAAAGGAGAAAAAAATACTTTTTTCTTGCCAATTTTTAAATGAATTTGTTTTCTACTTCATAGTGTTGTTGTGTAAGTCATAATTTGTTTATTTATTAGGCCTTTTAAGGCTTTCAAGACATATTTTTTCTGAATGATTGCTATTGGATATTGGTCATAGGGTGAAGTTGGATGAAGGCCTGAAAATGTAGAATCCCATTTTTACAACAATTTAAGCCTAATAAATAAGTTACATAACATAAAATTTTACACCTGTGCATAACTTTTGTCGATAAATTTTGTAGGCATTTATTTTTTCCCAGTCAAAAATTCATTTTATAACATTTTTTTTTAACGTGGATTATCCTTTTGAGTTAGAATAAGCTAATCCCCAACTGCAAGCTTTGGTTAAAGCTGGTTGTGACCCGAAAGGCCAAGGAAGGACCTTTTACTGTACGTAGTCAAAGGCATATTTTTAAAAAATTGTAATTGAGGAGGAGATATACAGTTACTGATAACTTTTTTTTTAAATTTATTGTCTTAAAAGGTTTATTGTTTTTCATTATTTTAAAAGGTTATTGTTTTAATGTATTTGGGTCAGGTCCCGATTTTTCTTTTCTTTAATTAAACTGTTTGTTGTGGCACTACTATTTTTGGCAATTTGTGAGTGAGATGAGTTGCTCGATGTGAAGGGGATCCGCACCATACAAGGTGGTAGTAATCTAAAGATTTCATTCTTCTCCTATAGAAATAATTTAGTAACAAAGTTGAAAGATGTAGTTGTTTTATAAAACAACTTATTTAGTAAGGACTATTTATCTACTTTAAAAGATAGTTATTGCTCACAGTTTGTGATTTTTCAACTGTACGGATTTCAAGCTCTCAATGACAATTGTCGATTGAAAATTCACATCATGAGACATGCTTGTAACTCCTTCAACCTGATGATGAACTTTAATGTTTGAAATCCTGTTCGTTGAAAACAACAAAGTGTAAGAACTATCTTTTAAAATAGTCGAACAACAAACTCACCCCTTCTTTATCAATTCTAGGACTATTCTGGAATAGCGCTAGACTGTATGTTATTTTTGTGTTGTTTGGTCATCATCTTCCTATTTTGGTTTTGTCCATCATCGTTGCATCATTTTGACATAATCTGCCAATCTGCCGGTTCGTTCATCTCGCTGTCCTCGAACAGAATTTACCCACAAGTTATTATTTCAGCCTGAACTATAAACTATTTGTTGTTTTTAAGGGTAAAGCAGTTGAGTTGATCTTATCTATGTTTACGGAGCCAAAAACCAACACGAATTGCATCAAAGTTTTATTAGCTCACGGTTTTACACCGAGATTATTTAATTGTCCTTCTTTGTTTAGAGAAGTGATGCAACAATTTGTTTTTGTTTGGTCTCTTTGGTCTTAAATTTTTTGCAAATTGCTCTGCATACATACCACATTTTGATAAAAGGAACAAATACAAAGATATTCTCACTTTCTTATCTATTAAAAAAAAGTCATTGTTATAGCAAACAGTTCAATTATGGTGTAATTGCAAAAAATCCAGTCTCAAAGTAACAATAAAAAATATTGAAAACTAATTTTGAGTAAATTTTCTAAAGTACTATCTCTATATAATTGCTATCAGCCTCTGATAAACACTTCCTTCTTCAAGATTTCGCCATTTAAGCTGCGCTAATTTTTTTTTCAATTCCCCGAGACGCAAATTAACTAATTTAATAACAGTGTTGGACGAGTAGGTTCTGCGATAATTGGACTTGCGATTGCAATAAGTTCACTTGGTTGGTTTGGTGTTCAAACGGTGTTTTCGCAAAAAGTTTAGAATATGCATTACACGGAACATAAATCCTTTCTGATCTGCAGTTGTTCCTTGCGGAGGTTGTATGCTACCAGAGGTAGTACAACTTGTTGGAAAGTTTTGTTCATTTTTGTCATTAAAAGGTCTGTTTTTTTTGTTTGTTTTTTTGTTTTGTTTTTTTATTAAGTGAATTAAATCTGACTGAATATTTAATTCTGCATGTGTTAATTACACGTAATTGTATGAAATGTGTGTGTGTGACTCACATAGATGCTTTTGACAATATGCTTTTTGTATTTGTATGAGTATTAAATTTACATTATTGTCATTTCCCCATGCAGCATTACTGTAAATAAATTGACTTTGAGTTGATGGAAAAACATAAATTTTAGTTGCTTACATACATTAATTTTCTGGGGACAGTGGTGGCCGACTGGATAGGGTATCCGACTTGTATTTGCCATGCTAGTGGATCTGGGTTTTTGAGTCCATGGCTTTTGGAGATTAGTATAAAAAAAAGTATTGGAAAGCAGTTTGACCCCTCGTCCATAACACATAACGGGTAGTTGGACATTAAGCCCTCTTGAATAACAAGAATTATATATTTTAGTTTTTCACTTTTAATTTTCTGAATCTTTTAGCAATATTAACTTTGTCATTTAATTATTAATAATACACTGCTCCACAAAAAAAGCGGCATCCTTTGAAATTTTGATTTTTTTTTTTAATACCTGCCTTTTCAGTAATATTAACATCTATATTTTTTATAATTAAGGTATTTAAAAAGATTTGGTTTGTGTAAAAATAAAAATACTTCTTGAAAACCAAAAATTAAAAAAAAAAAATTGCTTTTGTTTATAAACATAAAAGATTATAAATCAAACTTAAAAATCTTACTGGGTGTGATACCTTGCTATTATAACACACTCTAATCATCTTGGCATGCTGATAATTAAGCCTTTAACCACGTCTTGAGGAATTTTATCTCAAATCTCAACTAACATAACTTTCAGCTCAGCTAAGTTTTGTAGGAGGATTATTTTTTCAATTTACCCAACATGTAAGCTCATACAAAAAGTGCTCAAAAGGGATTTAAAATCAGTGCTTCGGGATGGTCAACTTATAGTATAGTGCAAATATCGACATCACGAAGGTACTGCTTAACACTGGTGGTGACGAGTCGCTTGCATTATCTTGCATAAAAAAGATTTGCTCGCCAATAAATAGCAGGGGCAAATGCACCAATATTACTCAAGAATAAAATAGAATAGTATAGCTTTGTGCATTAAACTATGGCCTAATAAAAACATGTAACACTCTTTTTGTCTCCAAAGCAATTCTGTTATACATTATAGCTGACCTACCTTCAAATGACCCTCCCTGGCAATGTTCCGCTGTAGCACTACATCTGCTTAAGTTTATAAACCCTAAGATGTCTATGAATGGAGAGAAAACTAGGACTCATCTGAAAAAATTACATTCCTACATTCAGTTTCTATCCAACAGGTGTTTCTGGGATGTAGATTTATTTCTTATTGTTTCAGCGCTAAAGGGACACATCTTTGAGACGGTAGAAGTAGTGGAAAAGTGATTTCTAAGAGTGTGCAATCTAATAAATCGGCTGTTCGTTGGTCCCCTGCCTCTTGAGCTCCGAGTCAACCTCACACTCTTCTGGTACCTCTAAATACTCGATGGCATGTCATAACAGTCAAACCTAAAACTCATACCACATAACGCTGATTTATTTTATCCTGAACGAGTGCAGTTGCACTGGCAACCTGCTTGCTGATTACAGGCATTTGCATAATCATTTTGTTTTGAGCCACCGATACAATAGTGAATAAAGGAATTGTTAAAGAATTAAAGTCCTTGTTGATGATTTTAATTATGGGAATTTAAAATAAAATTGAGAATTAAGCGGTTTTGTCTCACTATTGGCGACAAAAACAAATATTTCCCATCTAATTATAATTGTAAAATAATTTTTAATGTAGTCAACAAAAAATATGGCCAAAAGATTGTCAAATTGAAAAAAGAAATCAATACTTCAAAGAACACAACTTTTTTTGTGGAGCAGTGTAATTTTATGATTTCCCAAGTACTGATGAAGGGTTTCCTTGAAAGCTTGAAAGTAGGAACTGAACGTTTTTCTTTTCTTTCAAATCATCATTTCCACAGATTTTGTAAAATCTAGACACTACACTTGTTAAAATACTATAATCTTACACGATTGTCGGTGTCGTAGAAAATAGAGCGATTTGAAATTTTATTACTTTACTTTTATTTCTTACCATTTTTATTCCAGATGACATCTTTAAGCGTTAAGAAGCCAGAGACGTTGGAAGAACTGAAAGAAGGGCTTAGGCAGGCCTTCAGCGGCGACAAGGTGAACATTGAATTTGTAAGCGACCTTCTAAAATCCTACACCAGTAATCCACAGGAATGGAAAAAGTTTGCAAAATTCGACAGATACAGGTTTGTAGCATTTTTTCCTAATTCATACATTATTTACAAGTTGTACAACAAAACCCTAAACAAATGTGTAAAATAATATTTTAATATAGTTAAAGCTTTAGATTATTTTATACCGGTGTTGAAGATTAAATCATTCATGCATAACAACAAGAAAAAAAATGACAGAAAAACTATTTTCTATTATGAATTTTTCTAAATTTATTGTTTAATAATCTGAGGAGAGCCTAACTTTTCTTCCTACATATCTAGTTATTTACTACTAAATTCTGTCATAAAACTAACTCAAAGTTAATTAATTATTTATTTATAAAATTCTTCTTCAATGTTCACACAGGCTAAATTAACAACACAAAATGTGGTCTAATTAATTAACATTTTTATGGTAGTAAGATGTGTTAATATTATTTAACTTTCCGTATATTATTTTGAAAAGAAGTGATTACTCATGTTTATAAGATCAGCTATGCACATACTTAAAAAGTGCAAAGTTGTGCAGAGCTGAACGTATTACTTCTCATATCTCGTCGACAATTCCAGTTCTGTTTAATTTACAATAAATTACCAGCAAGCCTCGAGAATCACCCACCCTGTGTGTAGGCAGTCCAGGATCAGACCATTCTTAACTGGCCAGCCACCGAGGTTGGGCTCCAGGGGCTATTTGGCTAGGTCATTTCAGCCTTCAACACAATGAGTTTCTAGTTTCAAACCCACTCACTCGCACTCTCAAATACACTCTTTCCTATGCGCCATTTTCTCAGAGTGATGGAGTACTTGATATTCCCCCCCCCATATAACTAACCTGAGAGTCAATGGGGTTCTCAATATTCAGCCATTTGCCCTCTCACAATAAACATTCATGCTAATAAATACGTTTACTCGCAACACAAACTAGGGTCACAAATTATAAGTATGAAATAAAACATCCGTTTCAATTCTTGGAAGGAACAAGGGACTCAAATACATGCTGCTCTGCTCAAGCATCAGTCTCATATTGGGTGGCATTCCTACATGCTCTCTATATGGAGCCAAGGCACCACCTTCATTTAGGTGGTACACATCGAGCAACCTTTCTACATGCCGGATATGTAAGTGTCTGCCTTGCATGGCCTATTCTTAATTGAGAGAGGATGAACCATCTTCCATAAGTCAAATCCTCTGTTTTAAAAATAACATTTCTCATATTAGTTTTGCTTATTATCAAAATATTACTTGTGCTGTTTTACATTTTTCTGTAAGACAATATTATTATTATTTTTTTTTTTTTTTTAATTGATATATTGTTATGGAGATATCCTCCACATTTCACTTTTTGGAAATGCAACAAAAAGATAATGTCTGAATTCTGTTCTTGTCATCTGTTCTGTATGATTGTCTGTTCTCGAATAAACTCAACAAAAATAAAATAAAGGATAGTAGAAATATGTTTTTATGTCGTAAAATTTATTTTTCTCGGCTCTTGTTTTGTACAGGTACACGAGAAATTTAATTGACGAAGGGAACGGAAAATACAACCTGATGTTACTTTGTTGGGGTGAAGGGCACGGGTCAGCTATCCACGACCACGCCGATGCTCATTGTTTCATGAAAATTCTCGAAGGGAAGCTGAGCGAAGTGCGGTTTGCCTGGCCAGACGAAAAAGAGGTGTATATAGCTGATGACGAGTACAACCCGATGAAAGAAACCGGACGAACAACGCTGAGGACGAATGAAGTCTGCTATATAAATGGTGAGTATAAATTCAACCCAGTTTTGTCTATTAGGTGTAAGATGCTTAAAAATTTATGGTTGGTATTAAGGACAGAACAGGATCAGTTTTATATCTTGTGGCAGTTGTTGAATTATAATTAATAAAAGACCCCAAACATTTTAATAATTAAACTGTTACAGGAAGGAAATTATTTCACTTTGGTTTATAAAATGTTATGAGTTTCTTTCTTGGCGAACACCAGTTGGTTTGTTTCAAACCTACCCTAATCACCGGTGGGTTGGGTTATAAGGAGGGTGAGGCACCAAGAGACCAATGATGATTCATCAATTTATATAATTTATTTGATGGATTCTGTTTATAATTAGCTGATCCAGAGTCAGTTGATTTCTAAACAATAACTGAAACAGACGAAGAGCTATTAAAAACAGTTTATTACTAATTCTGATTTCTTATTGATTTTCTTATACCATGGTTGTTTCCGATCATTCTAGTCTCTCTAACATTGCTGTTTTTGGTCTATCAGATACGTTTCAGTCTGTTTTGTCAGTTTGGCTAATGGAACATGAATGATGAAATAATAGGAAAATCACTCACTGAAGTGAACTACAGACTGAAACACAGACCGCAACAGCAATAATATATTGACCAAAATTATTGTTGTATGCTCAAACTATAAATAAAATAATTGAGAGGGGCTTTTCTCCTGGTACTTTGATTTAACATGTTAAAAAGAAAAATTTGTTGAACACTAAAATACCAAAGTATACATTTCACTTTGTTGTTTAACTCCAGTCTTCAATATACTGTATTATTGGTTAATCTGCTTGCAAGTTTTTATTATTTTTTTTTATGATGAATTCACAGTCACATTTCATAATTTTGTCAACTTGCATTTGAATAATTCAATACGTGCTAATGGTTTTGATGAAATGCAGACAGCTTGGGACTTCACCGTGTGGAAAATCCGAGTTCTTCAGAGCCGGCAGTGAGCCTTCACTTGTACTGTCCCCCTTTCGACCAGTGCCACGTCTTTAACCAGCAGACCGGTCACAAGTCTGTAGCCAAAGTTACCTTTTGGTCAAAATACGGAAGCAAACCGGACCCGGTAATTATGAAACATACAACTTGACAGCTTCATTTTTGTAACGATTCGCTTGCTTTTTTTCTTACAGAAAATACAAGATGAAAGGGCACCTGAGGACAATTAAACTGATTTTCGCAACGTCCTTGGCGACGCTGTTAGATCAAAAAGATAGTTGATCAACCTATAATTGAGGCCTCACTGAAACTGAATATATGTACACTGTGAATAATTTTGTTATAAAACGTTAATGTTGTAAAAAATCAAAATGTGTAGTTGAAAATAAATATATTTTTCATGCTATAATCAATTAAAAAGTCATGGGCTCTGCCGAGATTTGAACCCAGAAGTGCTAATATGGCATATATGGTACTCAGCCACAATCCCACTAAAAATGGATTAAAATGTCAATAAATTATAACAAGCGTTCATTTTAAAAATTAGATGATGTATCGACCTGCTTGTTGAACAACTTGAACAAAAGGATCTTCAGTGAGGTCACAACAGAAACGACAATTCTTTAAGTTTTTGCCGAGCTTTTGACGATTATATCATCATCAGGGCCTATTTATTTTAGGAAAATATCGCAGTTAGAACATGTTATATCATGTAAACAAACAAAGTGTTCATTTTACTTAAATTCTTAAGTCATAATTTCAGTCCTTATCCCAGACAAACCTCCTGCCCTTCATTCCTAATAAGCGTTCCTCAAGGCAACTGTTTATCTACCCTCCTCTTTTAATGTATTAAAGATCTTCCTAATTTGGATGGCTTTCAAATTTATCCCTCTTTTTCAACTCATGACCTTCAAATCTCATCTATCACAAGAATCGAAGAGGACCTAAATGCCATCAGCTCCTGGACTGTTGAAAATGGCCTCTTTCTCAATATAAGTCACAGGCTAGTGTTTGAATATCCCCTTCACCAATCCTTACCTCCACTTGACAACCTACTGATCTCTTTTTATCCTGTCAAAAACTATCCTGCAAACCCCATATTTCTAAAATCTCCACCCTCCATCAATTCCGTCATGCCCCTCTTCCCAATCAGTACCTGCAAATTCCAGTTATCTTTGCTTCTCCTATCATTCTCTATTATGATTGTTGCGCTTTTACTTACTCCTTCCTTATCTGTTCCTACAATCTCTGGAATTCTCTACCTAACTACATTCACTGTGCCTCAACCCTTTCCACCTTTACATCCTGTCTTTTTAACTATCTCCTGTTTCTACAATTTAACACCGAAGATGGTTAATTTTTATCCTTTTTATTTAATTTAGTATGTTTCATCTTTTTTTTAAATCTTTATTTAAGTATTCATTTTGACACAAATTGTGCAACAATTTTTTTTATCCAAGGAGCGCCAAAGCCCCAGAATAAAACTTATTTTCTTCTACTTAAAACTATTATTTAATTTTGTACATTTCATTGTGGAGAGAAATTATTTTATTCAGAGAGAGGTGATTTTTACACGACGGGGTAACATTTTAATCACCTAGGACAGAAGGTTCGTCGTATCTGGCCTCGGCACCTCAATCTCGCTGACCTTGATACTACCCACAGGCGAATGGTTTGACTATCACTGTGCAATAAGCCTCGGTAAGGGAACAATTAAGGAATAAGTGACCCCAGATCAAGGAGCAAACATTTTTCAGTCTAAAAAATTAAATAGCCATGGGTTGTGCTGGGGGTTTAAACCAGAACTGCTTACGTAGCAAATACAAATTTAACAGCATAACCACTCAGCCACCATGGTTCCCATCAAAAATACATACACAAAGTTTTATCCCTATTTTCTTCCTAAAGTTGTTCATTTAAATGGTGGTCAGACTAGTTAAACTTGTGGAAACGATGTAAAAAAAAAATTGTTTCCAACTAGTTAACCATCTACATACACTATGTTCAAAACTGATAGTATATTTCTTCATTCCTTTCTTGGTTGTACTTGTCTGAAATTAACAGAAATATATTGAAATGATAAATCACTACTTAGTAAACTAATTATGAAGTCTAAAACAAGTGGCAGAACCAGAACTCATGACTACTGTTACCATTGAACTAATTACAATTAACATAAATTATTAAAACTTTCTTTAATTTATTATGCTATTCACTATCTACCTAACTAGCTTGAATTATTCATTAAGGACATCTGGCTGATTACACCACTAAATTCAATGTCTCAAGGCTTTGCCGTGTATTTGTTACATCATTAATTAACATAATTATCGTTACTACAACTTTATTTATTCACTTTAAATTTAGGAATAAAATTGAATAAAAACGCCTATCTAAGTATAATAATCAGGTTTATCAAGATGATAAAAACAGATGTGTAAAATTGGTTGTCATTTTTCATGGCTTCAAACAAAATCAATTGAGTTTGAAACTTTGTAGAATTGTTTCGTTACTGATCTTTGGCTTTTAATTGATTGTTTCGTATCTCTCTCGTCAGGTCAATAATCTCATGTTATGTCACTGTTCCAATACTGACTGCTGGTTCTTGGGTTTCTAATGGTTCTCAACTAGTTTTTTTTTTTTAATATACTTATATTTTCAAATGTTAATAAATCATTAATTCATATTTTATATATTTATATTATAACAAAGAATCCCACAGTTATTATGAATTGAAATCGAATGACTTTTTATTGTTGTCAATTAATGAATAATTTTCAATCTGAAAAAATTACTCTCAAATGATAATGAAATATGAGGTGATTTTCAGTAAATAAAAATAGGCTTCATTAAGTATTTATATAATTATATTATTAATTAATGTTTGTATACTGTGATAAAACTAACTTTAATAAACACAACAAAAACCTTCACTTTATATAAGAGATAATAAACAATTTAAAATTCAATATTTGTTTATAAAAAGAAAAAGTGACTAATTATAAACTAAAGTAAAATAGTAAAATATACGAATTATAATATGCATAAAAAGCTAAGGACTAAAACAATGGTGTATATATTTTAAAATGCCTTTATGCTAGAGATTGTTGGTTTACATATTCGATACATTTATACATTGAACTGAAAAAAAAAGAAACAAAAAGTCAATGCTCAGAAGCAATTATATTTTAAGGCAAAGGCAAAATAAGGAACAGAAAACAAAATGTTTTAAAATTATAAATGGAATGGTAATTTATTTTAAACAATTTGTCTAAACAATAAATAAATAATAAAAAAAAAGAAAAAAAAGAAAGGGAGGAAGAAAATAAAGAGAAAGTGTGGTGAGAGGTTGAAATATCTCAAAGTCAATAGAAACCAGAAACTTAAAATGCAGTATTAATAAGTGTATATATTATAATTATTTATTCATTATGTTACTGAACCATCCCGCAAAAAGAGAGGAGATTGCCTTAGAGGTCATTAGTTCTTTACAAATGTGACAAAAGGGAAAATATTGGGAAGCCATCGAAATAGCTACAACCGTAAAACGAGGAATTTACTCAATGGCGTAACGCATGTACAAGTTGATGGTGTCGTTGCTGTTTAGAAGCAACTCGTGGCCAGGTGGCAGTATTGCAAAGCCAAGATACATGAATGTCCTCACCAATTGGGCTAGAAACAACACAATAGATTAGTTCAATTTCCAACTTCAAAACGGATATTACTGCTTACCTCGATCAGCCCTGTCCTTCTTAAGACAAACGATTATATCAGTGCACTTCAAAACTTCTTCTGCATATTCAAGTAATGTGATAAATCTAAACAAAAACAAATATTAGAAATTGCAATAAAAACCAAACAATACGTACGAAATAGCATGCTACTTGGATTCTGAAAATAATTTTATTGTAAATACTGAAATCCTTTGTAAAGGCCTACTTACAAAGTATCATTTAAATGTGAGTTATCGTCATAATTTTCTAAGTAGTTTAATTCTGTGCAAAGGATGTATAAAGTAAAAAATATAAAAAATACATATTAAATATATACAGGCCTTTTATTAGTAAAATAAAATATGTTTTTATCCTTTAAAAGTTAGTCAAATCTTATTATACATTGGATTGTAATAATTTGTAGTGTATCATCATATTTTGACTACACTTAAAATTATACTCCCATTTTGGTTAAATACCACTCTTTTTAAATATTTCTTTCTTAACTTATATGAATGTCACTTACAAACAACTTTCATATACATCAGCCTGCTCAATTTGTTAGGAGTTGAATAAAATAGTTCTGCAAGCTTCTTTGGAAATAAAATTTGTACATCTTTAATTTACAATACATTATTCTCATTGGCATTGAATCATTTTTGATCTATTCAAGAAACGGAGAAAAAAAAAGAAAAAAGCATTTCTACACGACTTACGCTTCCTTTGATCCATCGGGAAGAAGTGACTGCGGTACTTGAATGTAAAGCCTCGTTCCGAGAAGTAACGTATCCCACACAGCTTCAGTCTGTTCTGTCAACCGAAGCTCGAATGTTATCCGAGTGACACCCCCACGCCCCAAAATGGCCTCCAAGTCAATCTCCTTCACATTTTTGAAAATGGCCGGAATATTACATTAAGTTATACATAATACACACACAAATTCATACCTGATACTTAATGCGGTTGGAAGGATATTGGATGTGGGGGACATCAGGAGCACCACAGAGGCCCTGTGCCAAGCTGCACTTTATAATGGGGGCCGCCCTCCTCTTCTTCGATAATACCAGCTCTAAAAAAAGTTATAAAAGTAAAATAAAGATCAATCTGTAGTTTCTTATGAATACAGTAACGAAATTATTTTAGTGGATTTGAAAATCAAGAGCATTAATTTTACACTATTTATTGATGCAAATATTAGACATAAATTAATTTGACTTTTAAGGCTAACTTTCAATTAGAACAATATTCTATTCAAAATTACACTATAAGACCAGCATAACTCAATACATAAAAAATCCCACATGGCCAAGGACGATAGTAAACTAAATAAGATAATAAAAATGATGAAAAGCTGACAAATAAAGATATAATTTTCATATGAACAAACATTGTAATTTAAACTAACATCATAAAATTAATTACTGTTGTATATCAACTAGACGACTGTTGAACAAAATTCATCCTCATTTAAATTCGACATGGTTTTATTTCACTGTGTCAAGAAATTTAAAGTACAGACTCAATAAATAAATGGCAAATGAAAAAATTTTCTTGCAATATTTATCTGTATAATGATAGCCTGAAGATTGATCATCCCAGTTCAGTCTGCCTATTCTCATTAGCTTTGTACATTTCAGCATTTTGCCATATCAAATTGTTCTGGCAAAGTGCCGAAACGGGTCTGATAGGTAATGGACAAAATAAGTATGGACGGTTGAACCACAAAAAAATTCTCTTCTTCTATAAACAAAAATTCATGCTTACAAAAAAATAACATTTGTTTTTTTCTTGGCATGCCAAAAACATTTTTGTGTTTTGTTAAGACACAACACAATAGAAAAAAGCCTTGTGTTGGTGACGGTCAGCAAACACTAAGAAAATATCATTGCAAGGCAAAAAGGTCAGTCCAAAGCAGTTTGGCTTTGAAAGTTCAAAACAAGTAATATTAATACTGCTAAATAAAATTTATCAAATAAAGGTGCCAGTTCTATTTTGAGCGTTTTCAGTTCAAAATGCGCACATTGGGCTGGCACTTTCCCGTCCCGCAGTTGGCATAGGGGCACTACAATGTATTGCCAAATCTTGTTGGAAACATTACTAGGTTTAAGGTGGATCACTTGGTTAGTATAAATAAACAATCCATTTTCTCACGCTTTAAAATACATGAGGATAAATGTGAAATGTTTAAATCTAATTTGGGTATGATGAAATTAGTTTAAAGGATATAGCTCAGTGGCAGAGAATTGGTCTTGTAAACGAGGGGGTCATGAGTTTGATCCTTGCAGGAGGCAGTCCTTATTAGCATTTCAGGTCTTAAAAAACAAAATAGTATTGAACTAGTAGGTTTATTTCAACCCAAATACCACTAGTAGCCATATTTTCCTCAAAATTATTTGAATGTATGACAAGAGACTATAAATAATATGAATCTGTTGATTAAACAGTTTACGATGGTTTGGAGAAAGGCTAATAGTAACAGTTTTTCCAGAATTTGCTATCCATAAAAAAATAAAGTTGATTTGCAGATTCCACAGTTTTGTCTTGGCATAACAAAGCACAAAACATGCTAAATGTGCAACCACTGGGCCGATAAGAAACCCCAATCTTATTTTTATGTTATTATATAATTTCATTTATATCTTAGATGTAAACTATATTTGGGTTTGGAAATAATAAAATAAATAATTGACAATAAGAAAACAATAGTATTAACATTTTTTTCATATTGAAAATCTTAAATATTCATTGATTTTAAAGAAAAATGCTCAACTCTTGGACCCGCCTATAATATTAAATCAATAATTATTGCTTGCATAATACAACATGGATGACCGATTGAATAAGACGTGACGTTATTTTACAAAAATCTGTTAAAATAAGTCAAGATCAATCCCAAAGAGTTCAAGGTTTAAAAATTATTTAAGGACTAAACAACAAATGCCAAGTTTGATAAGTTCAAGGTTGGGTCCTACTAAGTTTATTATTATCAACTTTTAATATTTATATACAATATATAACTACATTTATTAAAGAACTTTTTTTTCTCTGAAAATATAACCTTAAAATAGCCCAAATACAAACTCAACAGAGTCGAAACGACCTAGAAGGATTTGTGAAAAAAATAAAAAATAAAATAATAATTTACATTTTTTCAAACCAAGAAAAAAATCCATTTGGCATACAAAAATATAAAATTGCCAAAAATAATGCTATGTTGTGCAACTATTTTGTTCATGGAATATTATTACAATGACATTCTATGGAAAAGAGATAAAACAAAATAATACTGGAAAAAACCCTAATCGATTGATTCTGGTTAGGCTAGTGGTAATAAAACTATTTACTTATTATTATCACTTATAATAATATTTTTATGAGAAAGATACTCTTGACCTTTAAAATATTGCAACACTTATTTAAAGCAAAAGTTAAATTGAAGCCAGCAACTTTTTGACACGTCTGTACTATATCAATAATTATCATCTGGATAATGTAACGAGTGGGTGAATAAATTGAAATTTTATTTAACAAAAACTGTTAAAATAAGTCCAGAAATATTTCAGTGTAAAACTGTTAAATTTTTTTTTTTTTAAACGGGGAGAACGAATGTTTAATTACTACTACTATTACCAAATATAAAATAAATTTTAATCTATCACCAAACAATTTTCCGGTTTTTGGTTAATTTTCTTTTCGTTTACATTAAAACAGTTAAAATACATAATATAATTTAAAATAAACAATAAAATACAAGTGAAAGGTTTTTTAAAATTTACTTTTAATGTATATAAATAATCTATAAACTATAAGTGAATAATGGTATGATGATAAAAGGTTGTTAACCTTGAACAAATGTACAATAATAACAAATATACAAAAACTATTTAATTAGTTACCTGTTTTTTGCGAAGAAGGTTAAAAAAAAGCTATTTGTCAAACAGATTGAAGTAGTAATAGTAAATAACCTATAAACTATAAATGATTAATGGCATTTAAGTTGTCCACACAGTTGAAAATGTTAACAATATTAATTTTAAAGTAAAACTAAGAATTCTTGAACCAACTTTTTAACATGCCTGTAATTTTAAATCACTAATTATCGTTAGGATAAAGTAACAAGAATTGGCAAATGAATAATATGAGTTTATTTCACAAAACTTGTCAAAATGACTAAAATCTATTTCAAAAGTGTTATTATTATTAATTTTTAAGGGAGTTTTAACGGCTAAGGTCATTTCACGCCCTAACATCCAAACCTTCTATCTTAGGTTAGCTATACCTCTTCTGAGTGCTATAAAGCTCTGAGTCCAAACATTCACTCGTAATCTAATTTATCCTATTGCCATGCAAGCTTTAATTTTTCTTTTTAAAATTTTTAATTCGGAAGGCCAAATGTATGCAAAATTCCCATTTTAAATTGCATAACAAAAGTGTTGTTGTTTAAAAAACAGGAAGTACAAAATAAATGCTTAATATACTGGATATTTATATAGAAATGGATTTTCCTAGTTACTACTACTGTGGACTTCACTACCTCTATTTGATAATGATATTCTATAGAAACAGGATTCCTAAAACACCAACTAATTTAGATCAATTTTAAGAGGTTTAAAAAGTTGTAAAAAAACATATTTTTTTAAATAAACCTAAAAATAGTGGGAAAAAACTTTTTTCACATGCCTGTAATCGTAAATCAATAACCATCGTTTGACCAACGTAGAACTTGTCAAAAGGTCTAAGATTTATTTCAAAAGTGTTAAGTATCAGGAAAAATAAAATAAATGCTTAATATACCGGATATTTGCTAGTTTCTATAATGTGGAGTTTATTAGCTCTGGTTGAGAATGAGATTTTATAGAAGCGGGATTCCTAAAACACAAACTAATTTAGAAAGACTTGGTTTATTTCAAAGTTTTTTTTCTCTAATTGATTCTCTAGTGATCTTACTATACTTCAGTAAACGACAATTGTATAACAAAAAGAAAATTTATATAGATATATATATATTTTTTTGTAATACAGATCGAGGAATTAATAATAAATAACCTAGGAGTTCACTACCTCTGTTGACAATGATATTCTACAGAAAATGAACTTCCTAAAACATCAACTAATTTGGAACGGATTGTTATATTTCAGTTTTAGCATCAAACTGCCTATTTAATTCTCCAGTATATGACAAGTTTCAATAAAAATAACAAAAAAACTTATTTGTCAGATTGAAGTGGTAATAATAAATAGCCTATAGACTTTAAGAGGTTGTTCACTTTCTCAACGTTAACCATTTTTTTAAGAAACCTCAAAATCGTGGGATCGACTTTTTTTGACTTGCCTGTAATAGTAACTTTATAACTATCATTTGAATAAGCATGAGTTGGTGACTGGATAAGACGAAAGTGTTATGTCACAAAACTTGTCCAAATGCAAGTCGAGATCAGTTTCAAAGTGTTTAAAAAGTTTTATCTAATTATTATATGCAGTTCACTTCCTTTGTTTGACAATGATATTCTACACAAATTGGCTACTAATTTAGAACATCATGGTTTATTTCAGTTTTATGCTCAAACTGCTTATTTAAAACTGCTCTATATGACGGTCTGATTAAAAAAACAAACAAAACCTTTATTTGTGAAATAAATCGAAGAATATTGGTAAATAACCTGTAATAATATAAATAATTAATGGTATAATTGTAAGACATTGGTTACAGTTGAAATGTTAACAATATTAATTTTTAAGCAAAAACTATGAATTTTTAACTTGAAAGTAATTTTAAATCAGTAATTATCATTAGGATAATGTAACCTTATTTGATTAGACCTATTTCTAAAGTGTTAAGTTGTTAACAGGAAAGATAAAATAAATGCTTAATGTAATGAAGATTTGCCTAGTTTCTATAATGTGGAGTTCATTAGCTCTGTTTGACAATGAGATTTTATAGAAGCGTGATTCCTAAAACACAAACTAATTTAGATCGATTTTTTTTTTCAAACTACTAATCTATTACTTCAGTATATGATAATTGTATAATAATACAAAAATATATTTGTCATACAAGTCGAATAATTA